AAACCTAACGCCATAGAGTAAAAATAGTTTTTTTTCATAACTGCAAAGCAAAGGCATAGCTTCTATTTTGGTTGACAATGTCACCGTCTTAAGTGTTTCTAATGTATATTGTTTTATTACTGTACTTTGTTTTCAAGGATGACGGATATTAATATGAGAGGAATAAACACCTTAGTTCTCGGGAAATAACTGTTATGTTGCTATTTGAAATTTAAATTACAACTCGTCTGTTCAAGAACACTGAGATATGCAATGACTTCTCTTAACTGTTTTCTATTTATACCAATGCATCCGGTATCCTTATATGACGTCGTCTCAACATAAATCCGATTTTATTCTATAGTTATTTGTAAAAAAATCAGTTTATACTGTGATAAATATATAACCCTGGACAATTAACACAGCGCCATCGAGTCCCACGGTAAGCAGAGCTTGTGTTATGGGTACTAGACAACTAATACAAATACTTTTCTCCAAATACATTCATAATATATATATTATTTGTATAGAAAACGGCTAGACCGATATAATCATATTCATGAATACAAATGTTTGCATCGTGCGAAGAATCGAACCTGCGACTATCAGGAATAAAGCAATATGCATAACCGCTAGACTATCGAGGCTGTCCAAAATAATTTTCTATGATATGTTAAAAAAATATTTTAGAGTAATTCATATATTGTAGATATAGTGTAGTCTTAATAATCAAGTAATTATTATCTCTTACTGCAACAGGACGGTAAGGAAAACGAGTAACATAAAAAAACTCTACATAAAAAAATTAAATGACCTAAACGACTAATCGATTTTTAATTTTTTTGACAGTTATCAGAAGACGTGTTCGTCATCGGGTCTTCCGAATTATATTCAAATGGACTTTTAACATTTAAAGAAATGCAAGCCATACATAATCTAACTGTAGACTATCGATTAAAATTATTAAAAAGCATAAAACAATTCAATATCATTAAAATAACAATGTAAATTTTCCTAAAATATATAAAAAAATGTCATGTAACATTTAATATGTAAGGACCAATTTGACTTCTCTCTAACCGTGCGTTCTCATTGGTCAAAACAAAATAGCCCGCTCCTATTGGTCAAATCAAAAAGCGCGCGCATCTCTGGTTCCCTGTTTCATATTTCCATTCCTTTTCACGAAATCATTGTCACAGATTGCAGTAAAGTTTTTTTTTTCGGACTACTTTAGTGCTGTTGGCCGCAGCTGACCTACAGCTTCACCGGACGGTAGAGGTCGAGTGCAGATGGCACTCCAAACCCGCGGAAAGACTTATGGAGCGGCTGAAGGCCAACTCCCGCCTGACGGATATGACTTTAGTCTGAGGGCACCGCTAGGCTCCCTCAGACTAGTGTCAGACTAGGTTCCAACCTCGACTCAGGCTGTCGTAATATCGTTCCCCGTTTGAATTGGACGGGGGATCGATCGGTGCAGTAAAGTGTAAAGACAGATGTTATAAATAAAATCTTCGACACGTACCTATCTGTAATATATTACAATAATATAATTAAATTACATCATTACATTGCATATACAAGTCATAGTTCATAGTAGCAATTAATTATGTAGATAAATTTAATTTATTTTTAACAGATATTAATAATAATTATCAGTTTAATTATTATTAGTGTCAGGTTTTTGTTTAGTATTACATGACGCGATGTCTTTAACGAACTTTGAACTTATTATGATTCTTTTCTTGTCTGTCTTTCTCTTTGGTAAATTCTTATGTTTCGAACTAACCATTAGCGATTTTGTTTACATAATCTTTCTTCCTATATTTCACCCTCTTCCTGATGTTTTTGAATGGAAAAGAAAGCCAGTGGCAGTCTTCGTGGTGCGCTCTGCCTACGTCAAATTTTATTCAGATTATTTCAGTCATTTAGTCGTGAAATGGTCGAACAGACAGATAAACACATTTTTGCAATTACAATATTAGTATGTATTAATGTTGTTGGATTTGAAGTTGGATTCCTAATAACACCAATATAAAAAATACATAATAGCAGGTAGATAGTAATAAAACTGCACACGAATACACAATAGACATTATAGCAGCGTATACAGAGTTCCTCATGACTCGATTTAGAAAAAAAAAGGAACATATTTATCGAATAAAAACTGGAAATCAGTCACCGGAGACCAAATAAAAAGCATACAGAAACAGTTTTTTGTCTGTCTAGTCGCAAGAAATTCCATGCGTCTGCGAGGCGCGGGCGCGGCGCCAGGGGATTCGAGGTAAACATACGATTCAGATAAAAAAAATAGGTCACGTGCGAAATTCATTGCGTCATGAGTGTTCCTTACGTTGCCAATCCGTTCTTTTTTTAAATTTGTTTCTTTTTTTCATTTAGGTGCCAATACTATTAACAAAAGCAGGTCAATCATCGATCAATTTGAATCTGTTTAAACAAAAACTAAAATCGTAACCGGAAAGTGTACATGTATGTGAAGATACAGTGAGTATACTTTCGAGACGAGAATCGTGCGAGTTTCAATAGTAGCAACGAACGATATATAAAGGTAGACGCTTAATTTTATCCGTGATCATGATGGTAAAACTGGCTGAATATCGGATATCAATAAAAACAAATAAAACATGGTAGGATCTCAGATTAATACAAAAAAAAAGTTATTTTTGCATCTATACTATTTGTATAACTTGTTCTATTTTTTTATCTGGAATTAAAAACCTTAAAAATATTAACATTTATTCATTAAATTCTCGGAGAAAATATAAATCTATCTATATATAATCATTCGTTTACGTTCTTCGTCAGTGTGTAATAATATAATCAATAATGATAGACAAGTATAATAATAATATTCAATAGGTATTATTTATAATCTGTGGTATGATATATATATATGTATATATCCATTGGCAGTATAACTTATCGGTTTCTCGTTATAACACAACGATCCCTAACACTCACATTAGTGTTATTTCCGTACGGTACTCAAACAGCACGTGCTCGATAGATTGGCTGGCGTCATTGAGACCTACAATGGGTAGACTGGTAAATACTAATAGAATAAACTGGCGGGAAATAAAAATACAATGTATTCGATTTTTAAATTTAGCAGTATAGACAAAGTAGTATTTTTTTTGGCGCTCAATTATGCTAAAGAAATTTACACTAAAAACGTAGTGATTACTTTCTCAGTTATTTAGATTATACCGCACACTATGTAAATAAACAGTTCGTTTCAAGATTTGGTATTACCCATATGATACTGAAACCTGAAATGAACTGGTGTATGCTATTGAAATGGTGCTCTAAGAAAGTGGTTGCAAGGTTTCATATAAGTTTTATTCGAAGTGACGGAAGCCTGAGATACGAAAATAATAAATTAGGATTAAAGGGCGGGATTACACTTCTATGTATTCGATTTTTAAACTTATAATTATTCATACAACTTTTCTTTTTTTTTCGTTCAATGAAATGTAGCAGTTTTTTTTAATAAGCAAAGATCTTCATTCTATTCTTCTATATGACTATAGTTTGTTTGTTTGACTATAACTTAAATGCATTATGCCTTATGAGTTTACAGAAAAATATTAGTATTCAAAAATATTTATTTGTTCCATTTAGTTATCAAAGGCTTTGTCTGAAATAATAAAAAGCTCGATTATCAATTCTGTGTGCTACAATATTGAAGCCTGATAAGGTCGCTGTAGTAACGTTATCAGTAACGATTAATCTCAATACATCGGTAAATCGATACTGCAGAAATAGGTTGATACCTACACAACTGAATTATTACTAGTCTGAACTAGTATGAATTCCGATATGTAACTAGCTATCAATATTTATATGTCTATTTACATACGTCGGGGTATTTTTTTTTATCTGTATTTCTTTCTTCTCAAACATTACTCATGTTTAAAAAATAACAATAATTTCGGCCAAAATGAGCTTGTACAAAGTCAACTGCGTGGGTACCTTTGTGTCGTCTATTTCAGCCGCAGAATGTTTTGTTAGATCTGTATTGGTTAAAACTATATATATATATATAACCTGTGGATATCTGTATTGGTTTTACTATTATTAATTCATATTTATGTAATTAAATACATACTACATTGTGAAACAGACAGACAGACAGACAAAAATTGTAAAAAATGTTATTTTGGTATATGTATTGTATTTATATTCATATGTATGTAGTAAAAAATGGTTATTTCAATATTACAAACTGATACTCCAATTTTATTTGTATGTATAGATGTATACATGAACCAGAGGTACCGTTTTGAGATCAAAGAGGTAATAAAGCCGTTATATTAGGTATATAGAATTGATTTATGATTTATGTTAGTAATTTATGTTTCCTCTTTGTAAGATATGAGTTTCCTGTTGGTGAGGCAACTAATAGTAATAACAACCCTGAACAATTCACACAGCGCCATCTAGTCCCACACTAAGTAGAGCTTGTTACTAAGCACTTTTATAAATACACTAGCTGTCCCGGCAAACGTAGTTTTGCCTTAAAATAAAAAAAAAATTTAGGGGTGGACTACCCCTAACATTTAGGGGATGAAAAATAGATGTTGGCCGACTCTCAGACCTACTCAATACGCTCACAAAATTTCATGAGAATCGGTCAAGCCGTTTCGGAGGAGTATGGGAACGAAAACTGTGACACGAGAATTTTATATATAAGATAGACAATATCAGGTAAAAATTATATTATACATAAAATTTTTTTTTTGTGTTTATGTATTTAGATGACTGGTGACTTACCATCAGGTTTCCAGTCAGATATCTGTCATTCGTTCAAATAAAAAAAAATATTTATGTATTTTGGTAACTGTTGACCTACCAACAGTGGCCAGTCAGATTTCTGCCATTTCAATCAATTAAAAAAAATGTTGTTTATGTATTTTGGTGACTGTTGACTTACCATGAGGTGGGCAGACAGATATCTTTCAAATAAAAAAAAAACTAAAATATTACGTTATCTTTGTTTACAGGTACACGCATTAGAGGAGTTTGTTTACGATATTTCCTAAACAGGAGTGTAATAATTGTAAGTTTCAATATTTTGGATATAAATTGAATTTTTAGTATAAACTAGTTTCGCTTATACCTCGGGTTTGCATGTATACCAGTAGATCTGAGCGAGTATGAATCCATACTAATAAATCTGAAAGTTTGTCTGTCTGTAAGTTTGTTTGGGTTTTACGGAGAAACGACTGAATGGATTTTTATAAAATGTCACATGACGATATGTTTCCAGATTATATTCTTTTTTCATTTTATTCTTCCTTATATTCTTTCTTTCTTTTATTCTGTTTAATATCTGGAAAGGAGTGAATAATAAAATAAGAAGAGTTCCGGATGAAGCTTTCTAAGTCATAGTGAAAACTGTACCCAAGTCTGCTGTATAGTTTAGGAGAAGTAAGCAGAAAAACAGACAGACGAAAAATGCAACTATGCTTTATACTATTTATAAATGGACATTGCAAAAAATAAATTAACACTATATAAAATTGGATGTCAAAAATATGGCTTTGTTTGTTATGAAACCTTATTGGTAAGAATGCTTGTGTGTGAATTTATCTCGCTATATCATAAACGCGAAAGTTTGTGAGTATGGATGGATGGATGGACGGATGTTTGGTACTCTTTCATGCAAAAACCTACTGAACGGACTTTGATGAAACTTTACAGTAATATAGCTTATACGTCGGAATAACACCTTGGGTATAATTTAAAAAGATATTATATAAATTTGGTAAATTGTCAAGTAAGTGTCCATATGAATTTGGTAAATTTTCAAAAAAAATAATATTTTATAATAATATTTTATATATTTGGTATAATTGTGAAATTTGGTAAATTGTCAAGTAAGTGTCCATGTGTCCATATGTAGTTGCGTTAAGCTGGATATTGATTTAGGTTATATTTATATTTATATATACATATATTGTTACAGTTATATACATATTTGCTCATTAATATACATATAATTTATATATATTTTTAAGATTATGAACTACTAGCCTACATCTAAATTACACTTACTAGATATTTATCATTATAATTTGCTCAATTTACATAATATCTTTTTAAATTATAACCTTTGTGTTATTCTGATGTATAAGCTATATTACTGTAAAGTTTCATTAAAATACGTTTAGTAGTTTTAAGTAACAAACATCCATACATATTCACAACCTTTCGCATTTTTAATATTACTAAGATATATTATTCTGATGTAGAAGCTATATTAGTGCAAAGTTTCATCAAAATCCGTTCAGTTGTTTTTGCGTGAAAGAGTAACAAACATCCATCCATATTCACAAACTTTCGCATTTATAATATTACTAAGATATATTATTCTGATGTATTAGCTATATTAGTGCAAAGTTTCATCAAAATATTTCAGTAGTGCGTGAAAGAGTACCATCTCTCATCTTTACTCACAAACTTTATAATATTAATAAGATTCTGTTCAACACAGTTAAACCTTGGCAGTAGGTATTATAAATGCAGTTTAGCATGGGTATGCATACGTAATTACTGGGAACGGTGTTGTGCAACAACCACTGCACATCCGTTCATACTCAACAATGGTATGTTTAATACAGGCTCATTACACCTATTGTATGACAGAAATATGTTATACAATTGTAATAATCTATACGTGTAACAAAATTGGAGTGTCTGTTTGTAATATTGAAATAACCGTCTTTTACTACATGCATATGAATATAAATACCGTACATACACCAAAATTGCAATTTTTGTCTGTCTGTCTGTTTGTTCCGGCTAATCTTTGAAATGGCTGGACCGATTTTGACGGGATTTTTTCTGGCAGATACCTGATGTAATAAGGAATAACTTAGGATACTTTTATTTTAGAAAAATAAAGTTAAATTCCACACGGACGAAGTCGCGGGCACAACTAGTATTCTTGTTCCGGCTAATCTTTGAAATGGCTGGACCGATTTTGACGGGTTGTTTCCTGGCAGGTAGCTGATGTAATAAGGATTAACTTAGGCTACTTTTTTTTAGAAAAATAAAGTTAATTCCATGCGGACGAAGTCGCGGGTACAGCTAGTTGTAATATATAACAACAGCTGTGTATGGAAACGATATTGTTATAAAACCTTGTTTATTATGACTTATAAAGTACATACAGTTGGCAAGAATTGTTGGATTTGTATTTGTAGAATGTAATTGTTTGGCTGAAAGGAGATTTCCAGGGCCGTAAAATATTTAATAAAAAAAAATATATATATTCTTAGTTTTATTATTATATATATTGTTACCTCTATTATAATTATTTTGTTTTTTATTTTTATATTTGATGTACATATTAATTTATATAATTATTTTATTTATTTATTTATTTAACTTTAATGCACACAATATAATATATAGTATAGTACATTTGGCGGAGTTAACACCATGCGGAATTTTCTACCAGTCAACCATAGGTGGTGCAGAGAATAATTGTTGGTGGTGCAAAATTATAAACATAAACAAAATATAAACAGAACAAAAATATATATATATATATATAAACTTAAGAGATACAATAATATATAACATAAATATATACAAATATACACATATATATGCAATAAACTTAAATATATACCATATAGTCTGACAGTCACAGAACTAAAGAGAGTTAAATGGAAAAAAGTGAATTCAGAGACGAGAGAAAGTTATAAATTCAAATAATATTCCCGTAGTTTATTCTTTCTGTGAGAAGAACAATAAAGTGTTTTTCATTCATTCATTCATTCTTAATTTAAATATTTTAAAGAATATACGTATAGTACGATCTCGGTGGTCGAGTTTAGTACACCTTACTTTCAATGGTCATGGTCGCGGGTTTTTTTCCTCGCACAGTAGGGGAGCAGGGGGCACATTGTTACAATTTTTATATAAATGTTAATATGACAAAAGCTATGAAACAAATTATACATTGAGTTTTGAGGTGAGAATTGTCTTTGTTTGTTTGTACAGTACATACATTTAAAATAAAAGGATGCAGCGATCTTAAGAAATAAATTGAACAATGGCGGACTTATCTCAAATGAGGGATTTCGTCGTCAACCTTTGAATGACTTTATGACCTGTGATTGTTTGTAGCGGTCTGGGTTTTCTATGTGTATTAAATAAGTGTTTACAAATAAAAATGTTTCTATGTATTTATATCTAATATGTATATAAAAACGTCCGACTTATTATGTAGCTCATTTATTCTCAACTGTCAGAATCAAAAACAAATGAATATATTTTCTTTAGAAGAAAACACAAATACATTTTCTTAATATGAAAAGAGGTTTACATACACATCAATATCACTTGTACTTGAGAACTCATAATACAATCTCTGATTAGCTTAGGAATAGATGGCGTTGTGTGAGTTGTCTTGAGATATTACTATTATTGTTATACTAGCTGCTCCCGCGACTTCGTCCGCGTGGAATTTAACTTTATCTAAAATAAAAGTAGCCTAAGTTACTTCTTATTAGATCAACGACCTGTCAAAAAAGTCCCATCAAAATCGGTCCAGCCATTTCAGAGATTAGCCGGAACAAACAGACAGACAGACAAAAATTGTAATATATGCATGTAGTAAAAAACGGTTATTTCAATAATACAAACAGACACTCCAATTCGATTTATATGTACATATATAATACAAAACTACCATAGATATACTCCATACCATAAGTAGTTTATGGTGCTGTTTGAGTAGGTAGGTTACGGATTTTTTTTAATGAATTATTACGGAGTTATGCTCCCGACTGCTCTAATGATTTTCGCTTTTCGCTGGCGGGGCACCAGTGGTGGATGATAGGATGAGCATGAGGTTTGGTCAGTTAGCCTATAGTAACTTATTCACTTTGAATATTTCCACGGTCTGGTTGACCTCTACGCTGTAGATCTCTACCCCCAGGAAGCTTTTTTACAGGGGGAACCTCTTAGAGGTCAACATGACATAGTCCATTGTTAGTAATGTGATAATATTTTAAACAACCGTTCAAAATACATTTCACAAATATTACAGCTGGATTGCCAAGATCAAATTTGTCATATACCCCGTCTGGAGGTTTGCGTCTGCGCATAATTTTGGACGATTTCCAACTGTAGCTTCGTTTACCGGAATATTGTATTGCGTAAAACGTATAGGTTAATATAAAACGTAAAACGCGAGTGGTGTGTGCGCAATGGGATTGGACGCTGACGGTTTTTTTGTGTTCACTATGATGCTGATATTGTGGTAAATTTATATTAAAAAATTATTATATTTACTCATTTATTTCATAAAATAAGCTGGATTACGTAAATGTTACCTTTAAACCACGACAGCGGTAATACGCGAACAATCTAGAATTTTCTTTGTTTTAAATGGTTCATGAAATTGAATTCCTTGTGTTTTGATAAGACAAGTGATGCCACCTCTCGTACGTAATGGTAGGTACCTTCGAAAACCAGTGGCAAGTTCTCGTAAGTGCTGGTTTAGATTTATTATTTTAAATTATTATAACCCCTTGAAATGGTAATTTATGTACTAATTAATTAATTTTATTTGAGATATTGTGATAGATATCTTTTTAATTATAAAAAAATGTATTTTGATTTTGTGATATGGGTGTGACCGAAAGTTATAAAATAAGAACTAAATTTAGATAGAACATCCTTGAATTTGAAAATAAAATATTGAATGGAAAAATATTTAGTTACAATAATTATGACTCATTATACATACTCGATAGTTGATCAATTTAAATTTTAAATTTATTTTCTTCAGCAAATAGATATTTAAAAATAACTTCTTTCTTTGAGTACCTAATGTTAATATTTTTTTTATATATGCGTTACGTATATGTCTATATAGTTTTAGAATATTACCACAAAAGATAAACCCTTACTTATTAAAATAACTGTCTTTTATATTATCCTGTACAAATAAAAATAGACCTATAGCGAGATATATACGCATAAGTGTTAATTTAACTTTGACAAAATTTATGATAATAATGTTCTGATTCAATACTGATAGTTGCGATGTATATATATATTTTTTAAATAAACCAAATTTTTACTTAATCGCTGATAATGTTGCTATCTCTCTAATACCTAATATTAATATACAAGCCATAACAATAGAATCAAATTTACATTGTTATTTTTTTTATTTTCGTTTACTGTATATAATTATTTAATATCAAGTGATGATTAAGCGATTACATTCACAGATTACAGCAAAATCGAGTTATTGTCATAATCAAAATTAAATATTAAATCAGTGCAGAGTAACACGCGAAGACATCAACTTGTCTTTTACTCATCGGGATCTTTAAGTACTCATCTGAACATGGATATAACATACTTGCCGAGGTAATTACAATCCTAATTTTTGGTTCTTAGAGTCGGATTTGCAAAATCAAGCAATGTACCTACTTATTATTTAGTTAGACTTTACTTGCGGATTGTCCAAAATCAAGTTATTGTTATAATCAAAATTCAATTTTAAATGAGTGCCAAGTGACATGCGAAGAAACCAACTTGTCTTTTACTCATCGGGATCTTTAAGTACTCATCTGAACATGGATATAGCATACTTGCCGAGGTAATTACAATCCTAATGTTTGGTTCTTAGAGTCGGATTTGCAAAATCAAGCAAGGTATCTACTTCTTATTTAGTTATTGTCCAAAATCTAGTTATTTTTATAATCAAAATTAAATTTTAAATCAGTGCAAAGTAACACGCGAAGAAATCAACTTGTCTTTTACTCATCGGGATCATTAAGTACTCATCTGAACATGGATATAACATATTTGCCGAGGTAATTACAATCCTAATGTTTGGTCCAAAGAGTCGGATTTACAAAATCAAGCAAGGTACCTACTTATTTAGTTAGATTTACTTGCGGGTTGTCCAAAATCAAGTTATTGTAACTAATCAAATTTCAAATTTTGGCTTCAAAAATTACGAATATTTCCGTATTTTCATTCCCTATTTTATTTTAGCTAATGATATTTCCATACAATCTTCCATCTCCCCCCTCATCACCTGACGACCCTTCTTTCACACTAAAAAATAACCTATGTCCTTTATCAGGTTCTAGACTATCTTTGTACGAAATTACATTTAAATCGGTTCAGTAGTTGTGGCGTCAAATAATTATAAACAACCATCCATCATCCATCCATTCATCCACACTTACAAGCTTCCACATTCATAATATTAGAAAGATAGGGAAGAAATCTATACATCTATTGTTTCCAAGACATTCTCCGGTTAGTGCACTCGCTTATCTATACGGCTTACAACTGCAATACCATTCACGATTAGATATGGACAATCTATTGCCAATTAGATACATTTGATCGATTCGCGTCTACCATATCAATGGAGTCATACGGGGATTTTTTTATTGTTACCGCTTTCATGAGTTCAACTATGTAAATATTATCTTATATGTGGTTCAACAAAGAAAAATGTACGTTTTTTTTTTCATATGTTTTCAAATTTCTTCTTGTCTTAAATATCATAAATTTATATATATGTGTATATAGTTAATCTACACTAATATTATAAAGCTGAAGTGTTTGAAGGCACTAATCTCAGGAACTACTGGTTCGAATAGAGAAATTCGTTTTGAGTTGCATAGCCCATTCGTCGAGGAAGGCTTTAAGCTATATAACATTACGCTACGACCAATAGAAGCGAAGCATTAGTGGAAAATATTGCAAAAACGGGAAAATATTCGTATATGCGGGCTTCCATTGCGTGCGCTGCGCGAGGTTGCGGGCACAGCTTGTTAATAAATAAGGTTATGTTAGGTTTTTTTTTAATGAGTAATAGGGGCTGCTTGGAAACCAGCCCTATATAGGTGCACCTCATTGAGGTTGTACTTATATCAGCAACAGCTGAGGCAGCTCCTATTGCCAACTTTGTATGTCATTTTTTATTTCTTATTTTGTATATTTTTTGTAATTTGATGTGTTATGTTGGTAATAAATGAATTATCTATCTATCTATCATATATATAATTGTCGTTAAAAGAAATGAATGTAACAAAACTCCTCCGACGCCTTGACCGATTCTTATGAAAATTTAAGAAGCATATATATGTCTAGTGATACTTCTCAGTAATGTAACGATCGCACTAATGCGAACCTGCGACCTACTACTGGTCGATGACCAGAGTCAAGGCTGTTTGATCTAAGAAAGGTGCGGCATGTAAAACTCGATTCTGCTACTAGCAAATGGCTATAAATCTTATGCTACATTATAATTTTATCACGGGGACCAACATTTTTATACCCCTTTTTGAAATTATATGAAAATTACACGGACCGTTGAGTAAGAACGCTTCAATTAGAGTGCAAATAAAGAAAGAGAGCAGAGAGCAGAGAACAGAAATAATTTTAAAATATAAAATAATAAAAATAATAACCAAGGCCAATTTACATAGCGCCATCTAGTCCCAAGCTAAACAGAGTTTGTCTTATGGGTACTAGACTACTGATAAATTCATTTTATTTTGTAAATACATACCGTATTTACAAAAAAGTACTTGTATCAATCTGATTGTTTTCTATGTACACATTTTATGTATCGAACACAAGACGCTTAGTTTGGGAATAGATAGCGCTGTCTGAATTGTCCTGAGGTTATTATTCTTATGAATACAAATGTTTGTAATGTGCGAGGAATCGAATCAGCGATGGGTATAACTAACAAAACTATGTTTAAAGCTTTTATGTATCATACATGCTTTTAGTGTTATAATTTCTTAAGTTAGGTATAATACATGAAATACTTCCAACGTTATGAAGGCGTGAATAAAGTATATTTTATGCAAATAAAATCTACTAAAACCATTACTATCTTCCGTTACGCTTCGCTATTGTGTCAAGGCAACATTCGAGGACAAAAAATGGGGAATGGCCTCATCTATTTATAATTTCCATTAATCTTCAGGGAGGTTAATGTTTGAGTAAATCACTTTTCAGGCGCGTCCCGCAGTCATTAAACTTGTTCTTATTACAAATAAGACGGAGCGTATGCTTAATTGCTATCCTCGGTTGTAGGTACTATAAAGAGTTTATGTAGAGAGAGTGCAGACTTTGTTATGAGCAAAGTAAATTATGAATCATTAAAACGGCTTGAAAAAAAAAATGGAAACGGTTTGAAAGGTTTTTGTTTTTCGTACTACTCTAATGCTGTTAGCTACTGGGCTTTACAGCTTCACTGTACGGTAGGGGGCGAGTGCAGATGGTACTTGGTACTCCAAACACGTGGAAGGGCTTATGCGGAGCGAATGAAAGTCCAACTCCCGCCTGATGGAAACGAGTTTAGTTTTAGTCTAGGACACCTCTAGGGGTTCGAAACTTGGCTCAGGCCGTCGTAATTTTGTTTCCCGTTTGAACTGGACGGAGGTTGAAAGGTACATCATTTCAAAGTAACATTTGATGTTAATACATAAAAATTCCCAAAATTAATATCCGAACTCACCTCGGTTGAGTCCGATTAGTAATTAAATGAAGTAAAAAAATAGAAAATCGTGACGAGGCAAAACTGTTCCTTTGTGTATTAAGGTTTCGTATAAAATAGGCTGGGGGAATTACAATGAAATCACAGAATATTATTATGTTGTTAAATATGGGCATGGCCGTGTCATGTAAGGAGGGACGAGGATGATGTTTTAAGGAAAGTGTACATATGAACGTGGATGGATGGAAAGAGAGAGGACGCTCTAAAAAAAGATGGATGGATTGTGTCAAAGATGATAGGAATAAAAGGAGAGTATGCACAAATATTACGGCCGATGGAGATCAGTGGAAGAGAATGACATACTGCTCCGAGCCCAAATAATGGGATAAAAGCAAGGCAATGATGATACATGCTGACCAAAATATGAGAGGAATACCCTTCTCAATGCTGGGAAAATAATTAATTTTCTGAAAATTTACGATATACCACCTGCCCATCTTATAATTATTTTTTTAATCAAATTATAGATGACGTGGTGTAGATACTTTATTATTGATCTTTTGATTACCACCAATAAATGGCAGTTCATAAATTAACACGTACGAAGTCCTGAGCACAAGTATGTAATAAGACTACAATTTCTACTCCCACTAACGACCTGACGTTATCTTAATTTTAATAGTATTTGTAAAAGAAACTACTGATAACTCAAGTAGTTACCCACATATTGTTCCTACTGACATTATCTATGACATTGTCACAATTTGTGTACAAAGCAATTAATGTTTGCCTTTAAGTAAACTATTATACATTGTATGCCACTTATGTTCACTTCTCCGTGAACTTCTGATTAACAAAAACAGAATATCTTTGTTGTTTTTGTCATAGGTTTTTAAGAGCCGTTTCGTTTTTTGCTGTTCTCGATTAGCAATCAATTTGTATGTAATGACATGCAGTTGGGTTTATAAAATTTATTAAAATTAGATTAGTCATTTGCTTGAGCTTAACGTAGGCAAAAACGTTAGTCTTGAAAGATTACCGATTTCTTTTTAGAAGTTTACGGGAGGCGAAATCATTTTCGTAAATTTTTGCTCTAGGACCTTATGATACGGTTAAGATAGTTTTGATATGATTAAGGAGCAAGACCCTCGCCAAAAAATGTTTTTGTTAAAAATAGATCTTATGCACTACCTATATTATACATATTTATTGCTCCTCGACTCACTATCCGAACCTAAATATTCTGTCTTAATAATCTTAAAAGTTTTGGATTGGCAGGAAAGTGGTCACCTTGCCTGGTTGCTGGCTCACGTACTACAAATAAATAAACATCATTTCTAAAACTCGTTGACATGGGTTCAACTTCTTATATTATTTATTGCCCTACTAATTATAATGCAAACATTTAATTAAATTTACGTGTAATCAAGAAAAAGTATATATTCTAGAATTAAAAAAGATAATAGGAATACCAAATATTTTAGTTAAAATGTAGATATTTATATTTATTTTTCTTTTTGTTACAGAATTAAGAGCAGCGTTTGCAGCAATATTGAAATGATTGTCGCAAAACTTTAAATCTACATGTCAAGAAGGAATACGATAGCACTCCGCAGTAAGAGATTAAACGAAAGTGAAGAATTTAAAACTGTGAGATCGAGGACTAGCCGGTCCTTGATGTACTCGACAAGTTACAATATTTGCACCAAAAAACTCTGTATATCTAAGAAACCCTGTCGCTATTCTGCGAGAGATCCAAGATTAAGACATTGGTCTAGAGAATTCATTATTTCGTCAACGTAGAAGCCATTGTATATTCACATTTGGTAGTTCGTTGTCTTTTGAAGATTTATTTAGAGCTTCCCCGCAGTACGTAACCGGAAGCGTGTTATTTTAAAAGTCCCATAAGCGACTAATGGACTCTCAAAGAGCCTACTCAAATGGAGTTCCAGGTAAAGAGAAATCAATCAAATATGAACACAAAGTACCGTCTGAAGAGGAGAAGACTACGTCTCCACTCCTTAGCAAAGTGAATGACCTTAAGTATATAGACGCAGAAAAAGATGAAAGATATGGCGTAAGAGATATAGATAAACCTAAAAATGATCTCAACAAAGTCAATTCTATGAAAACGGACACTGAACAGACTAAAGATAGTCTCAGTGTAAGTTATCAGAAAAACCAGAAAAGTGATGATGATGCGATCTCGAATAATGATGGAGTCAAATTTTTGGGATTGGGAGATGGTGACAGTATTTGTTCCAGTAAGCCGCCCCCGGAACAAGCCCCCCAGATACCAGATGGTGGATGGGGATGGGTGGTCGTAGCCGCATCTTTCTTAATTGCTACTGTAGCAGATGGACTGGCATTTTCTTATGGGTTGATGCACAAAAAATTCGTTGAATATTTTGACCAGAGTGAAGCAAAAACTTCTCTTATTGGCAGTTTGTTTATTTCCGTTCCCCTCATATTAGGGCCTATTATGAGTGCGCTAGTAGATCGATATGGATGCAAGTATATGACGATTCTAGGCGGAGTGGCATCTACAATTGGTTTTGTGGCTGCATCTTATAGTAATTCTGTTGAAGTCTTATGTGTTACTTACGGACTCATGGCTGGTGTTGGTATGGGCCTCCTATACGTTACAGCCGTAGTTTCCATAGCTTATTGGTTTGAAAAGAGACGTAATTTAGCTGTGGGATTAGGATCATGTGGAGTTGGATTTGGAACTTTTGTATATTCCCCTCTTACTACTTATCTATTAGATGAATATGGATGGAGAGGTGCCTTATTACTCCTCGCTGGTACTGTACTTAATGTGTGTGTTTGTGGTGCTGTTATGAGAGACCCTGAGTGGTTAATCTTAGAACAAAAGAAACAGAGAAAATTGAATCAAGCAAAGAAAGCATCTAGTTCCGTTTCTATATCAGCGAAGTCTGGCGGTGGGGAATCTATGTATCCTGGTGTTGAGGAATTAAAGACACTAATGAAAAGTGGTAAAACTCCTGAATATATTCTAACAGACCTTATTACTTCGATTGCTCAACAAGAGAATCTGGAAGCAGCAACTAAAAGAAATACAGATATGTCACAGCAGAAAGTTAGTTCTGTCATCAATTTACCAACGTACTTGCGACAGAGTGAAAAGGTAACTATATTTCTCTTTAGTTATGTATAAATTGACTTTATACAAAATATATTATTTAGCCTAACAGTTTCTCGCTGTGTCACCAGCATATAGCCCATTAACTTCTTGTTTCTTACTGTTGATGTTGAATTTTCCTTACTGCCTAAAGTACTTGAGTTTCAGTCACTCTTTGAGCACCTTTGCAAATACTTATATCAATTCTGTATAAATATAATATTTTAACGTTTTTAATTCTATACGTAACTTTTATATGATTTGCCCAATGCCAAAAAAACCTACGTAATCATTGTCTATATGTACAGAACAATAAATATCTCAGAAAATATCTATAACATAAATGTAAGCAGCAATGTACGTTTACAAGTACGTGTAGAATTCATTAACAAGGCTTTTTTACATCCTAGTATTTACTTGCGTTCATTGATGTTATGATATGACATATCTAATATCAACTTTTTCCATTGTCAGGTTCCAGCTGAAGTATTAGATCTAATTACATCAAACAAACGTCTGTATAACGTAGTGTTACAAAACTACCCATCTTTATTAGCTTTAAGAAGCAATTCAGAACAGAAGCTACCTATCGAGGCACCTTCTGAAGCTTCTAAAGGTAATCCAGTAACAATGTCAATGAAATTGAAACTGAATAAAAAAGACAAGAAAGACTTTGAAAAGAAATTAGAGAAAGTAAGAGAGAAACTTCTTCAGCCCATTCCGGAGAACAAGGAAACAGCCTGCTCGAGACAGGATTGGTTTACGAGACAGCTTTATACCGATCACCATTATCTGAGGGATTTAAGGGTCCACAGAAATTCTATAATGCATCGAGGCGCTATGATGAATATTGCAAAATATAAGCTGCGTGCATCGTCGTGTCCGGATATTTATAAAAATTCTATGTGGTCAATGGAAGATCAGGAAGAAAAGGTAACAGATTTGCTATTTTACGACTATTCTATTTTAGTCTGCTTTATCAAAATTAACACAGATACATATTATTAAACAGTTTATTATAAAATATTGCGATTTATAAAATTTAAGTGCCTCTGTCACTTCTTATTATATTAATCGTTACTAATAATATAAATACGAAGTAACTCTATCTGTCTATCGATGTATGTCTCGATTTCAAGCCAAAACTAATCAACCGATTTACATGAAATTTGTTATACAGATCTAGACCCTGAGAAAAGATACAGGCAACTTTTTAATTCGAAAAAACGTTTGTAAGTGATGAAAGAAATGAATGGTTCTATGGAAGTATCTCCATTTTAAAAGCTAAAAGCTAGAAACTTATTTTTTAGAATATTGATTAAATATAAATAAATATGACATAAAAATTTTACCCTAAAGAATGTTAAACCCTTTATATGATAAATTGCTATAAATTTATCATATTGCTTTTTTTTTTTTAGTATTTACGGCACTCGATTCTCTTTCCTTTCGTGTTAGCAATGATTGTCTATATGTTTTTTTTTGTTTCAGACATGGCGAAGACGCTTACTGAATATGATAATCAAGACTTTTGATTTCAACATGTTCACCGAGTTCCACTTCCTCATGATGAATATATCTACTCTAATATTATTCATCTGGTTCATCGTGCCGTACTTTTATATCTCCGCATTCATGCAAATGAATGGATACGCCAAGGCTGATGGCTCGTGGATGCTTTCGCTGTTTGGTGTTGCCAGTATTATTGGGATTGTAAGTATTCATATTTCGTTTTTTAATTATTGATATGTGATTCTATAATATTATAAAACAGGTGTGAGCGACCTTTTTAATCAATGGGCTAATTTAAATATTAAAATATTTTGTTGGCTGCACACAACGTAATTAATACCTGTTAATAATGGACAAAACTTTATTTATTATAAAAAATTATATATTAATAATAATACTAATTAATCCTCGGTACTAATTACCAGATTTGCTGTGAAAAAGGGAAAGAAACAATAATAATAATAATACACTGATAATAATAATAACTTTTTATTGGGCACAGATAAAGTACAATAAAAATGTTTTACAAAAGGCTTATTTAAATAAAGATTATTTCTATTTCTATTTCTATTTGTAACACAGTTGTAATTGTAACCTATAATGATATTACATTTTTCAACTCTTACAAGTGTCCATACAAATTACGGCCAACTCTGATAACCTTCATGTTGAATTAATTTTTAGCACTAAAACAACACTGATAAGAGTTCTCAGAAAAATAATGGGAACAGATCCCATTCTAATGAGGGAACATGGATAACTAACTTTGTGATAGCACAGGTGATAGTATCCCAGTTAATAAATAGCTGATATAAGTAGATTAAGCTTTTAAAGCCATTCTTTTTATTATAAACTAACTACTCGCCCTGGCTTCGCACGGACGTACATGTATTATATGTTCTTCTTCTTCAGTCGTTCACTCTTGGCAGAGTGGTCGTGGCTTTCATGATGGTATATTTTGTGATATGGTATCGTTGTGGTCCTTGGCGAAAGAGCTCCTTACAATTTGTCTCCACCTGGTACGGTTTTTGGCTGCACGAGAACATTGTACCATGGACTGCTGTGTAGCCGTTCTTATGTATGTTCATATGTCAGTCCATCTCGTTGGTGATCGACCCCGAGAACGTCTGCCTTCAACCGAACCTTGGATAATTACCCGCTCCATACAGTGTTCGTTCCGGCTAATGTGACCAAAATACTTGAGAATTCGTATTTGCACAGTCGACGATTATATGTACATATATATAAACCTTCCTCTTGAATCAATCTATCTATTAAAAAACACTCGCTTCAAAATTCGTTGCGTAGTTTTAAAGATTTAAGCATATATAGGGACAGACAGCGACAATGACTTTGTTTTATACTTATATATTGACTAGCCGATCGCCACGCGTTACTGCGGCTGAGGTTCTTGAGTAAAATAATATTGCGACTATAAATTGAGATGTAAGCTATCCTAACTTTCAAGTCGGATCAAATTGCACACAATGTGCAATTCAAATTTACAATTGGTACAGTAGTTTAGGAGTCTGTTGTATGTATTTTAATAAACACAATAAAAAAATAAGAATATTGTTTAACAAATTTTCTCTGACCTATTGAATCTAAATTATATAAGTCAAAGGTGACTGACGTAGTGATCTATCAACGCACAGCCCAAACCACTGGACGGATCGGGCTGAAATTTGGCATGCAGGTAGATATTATGACGTAGGCATCCGCTAAGAAAGGATTTTGATTAATTCTACCCCCAAGGGGATAAAATAGGGAATGAAAGTTTGTATGAAACTTTGTCAATTTTAAACCGATCAGGCTGACACTTTACATGTATAAAGCTACTATGACGTAGGCATCCCCTAAGAAAGGATTTTGATAAATTGCACCCCTAAATTAACGCGAGCGAAGCCGCGGGCAAAAGCTAGTATACATATAAAATTTCATCATAATCTGATTCTATGTGTTTCGGAGGAGTATAAACACGAAACTTGTGACACGAGAATTTTATATATAAGATGTTCCAAAGAGCAACCAGCGAGTTTCTGACCATTCTTGACTGAATCTAGTTTACAATATTGCTTAAAATTTATTTGAATAAACAATAACTCTATTGATTTCAGGTGGGCCTTGGTTGGATAGGCGATTTGCCGTGGGTGAACATTACCAAAACTTACGCACTGTGCTTGGTAATTTGTGGTGTCAACATAATTCTCTTTCCTATACTGATTGGACTACTGGATGCGCGGCAGCCTCATAGTTTCTACGTATTAGCTGTGAACGCGGTTATGTTCGGCCTTATGTTCTCCAGTTCCTACTCTTACACCCCAAGTATCCTGGTGGAACTGATTGCATTGGAGCGCTTCACGATGGCGTACGGTCTGGTGCTGCTCAGCCAGGGTGTGGGGCATTTAATTGGACCACCTATGGCTGGTGAGTATATCACAATGATTATAACTTGCGATAATTTACACAGGCCCTCTCTATCAGCAAGCGTCTACTCTCAAGCTAAGAAGAATTTTTATGGGTCCAGTATGTTGAAATTACTTTTGGAAACCTACCTTTAATTGACATTGTCTATGCAAGCTGATATGATTGTTTGTATCGATCTGGGTGTTTAAAAAAAAAAATGTATTTATATCAGTTGTCTAGTACCCACAATACATGCTCTGCTTAGCTTGGGATAACGCTGTGTGAGTTGCCTTGAAATGTTACTAAAGTATGACTGTTCAAAAACGTATAAATTTAAGTTTATTTGAATAAAGAATTTCCTATTTATTTATATAATTCACACAGTTCTATACATAATGGAACATTAAGCAGATTTACCCCATACGGAATTTTCTATCAGTCCATCATAATTAGTGCAGAGAATAATTGTTGGCGGTGCAAATATAATAAATAGAATATAATTATTTAAAAATAGAATATAATAATATTCTATTTTTAAATATTAATTTAAATTTGTTTTTTTTTCAGGTGCACTTCGGGACGCTACCGGTTATTGGGACGCCGCGTTCTACGTAGCTGGCATCTGGGTGGTAATATCTGGTCTATTAGTCGGTGTGATACCGTACACGAAGAACTTCCGTATGTGTGGTAACGCACCGCTCGCTAAAGACGTCGCCAGCGACCCGGACCCAAGTGTTAGGATTATTATAGCTCACTAACTTATATTCTATACTTCATTTAACATCTTTGGCAGAAAAATAAAAAATGTTTCGACCCTTGGAACATACTAGAAAAATCATTGTAGCTCTAAGACTTCAATGTTTGGAGACCCTTGATGTAAGTGATGTAGTATTTGTTTTTAATAATCAATTATACAAAATAAAATATTTCAGATTATAATTCAAATATTATTTTTTAATTAATTTATTCAAAATACTTATAACAGATAATACAATTGATATTGCTTGGGATTTAACGAATTCAGCTATATATAAACAAGTATCTCAATGGAAGGTACGTGATACCTACCATGCCACTCTTATGACTGTCAACTGCGATAAATCATATTGTGACATATTGGGAATTTTAATCAAGATATAATCTGTGATGCATATGATTATATGGCACCCACAGATATAATTATTATAGTATTTTTTGTTCTATCATTAAATAAAATCTTTTTAAATGAATAATTTCAGGAATATTTATTATTAACAAATTATGCAAAGACTACTACATTTTGGAATAAAGTTTTTAGATAGAAAATTTAAACAAAATGATTGCAAAAATTACAGCGACTTAGCGTAATTCAATATTAAAATAGTGTCTTATATGATGACTTTGACTATATTTGATTTGATGATCTAATTGTATGAAATTTATTGTACGTAGGTACAATGTTATGTCACATTTCATATATGTGTTTTTGAAATAAAATTAGAAGAGATAACAATAAACGTTGTGACAGTATGTTTATTTAAGAGATTTTGTAGACATATTTATTTAATTATCCTTTATGAGAATTATGTATTAATAAAAATGGTGATAGAGTTATTTATACCTTTTAAAGTTTTTGTGATGTGCGAGGTGTTGTCGACCTTTTAATGTTTTTTTTTTTATAGATCTTTAAAATCATTGGTATATAAGTATGCATTGGCCTAGAAATATTGTCGTAAGTTGTTTAAAAAAACAAAATTGTGTTCTGTCCATTTCTAAAAGTTTTTACTCATATATAACCACTTGTATCCGGTCCTAACCGGTTTATTTTATAATTCATGTATTAGATTAGATACATTTGATTCGCGTGAATTTAGTTTAGTTATTTTAGTATTTATTTATAGCCTCCTAAGGAGGGTATTACATTGTATTGACATTTAGAAATAAGTTTTATGACTTTAATTAATATTATTAATGGTAGCGTTTGAAATATGTCGAGACTACGTATGAAATATAAATGAATCGTTCTGTCCTTAGGAATACCTATTCACTAAATCAATATTAATATAGTTTCTTTTTTTCTTTGTCTGTCTTTTATAATAAATATATATTCAAATCAACAAAATATATAGTACATCTAGTTTGGTGCTTGCTTGCCTACCTATGATTAATTTCAAATTAATTATAAATATTTATTAGCCGCCACTTGACCCGCGTGATCGGCATTATTGATTAACTTGAACGAAACGTAGCCTAATTTCCTTGTCCTTGGCAAATATTACGTGCATTCCAAGTTTTATGATGATTGGTAGAACCGTTGTGACCCTAAGACGATATCAACAAATTCAATTTCATATTTATAATATGTAGTTAGCTTGATAGATATGAATATGGAAAAAATACTTTCTACACGGCATTTGTAGACCACAATATCCGTATGTCCGATGTATATCCGATGGTAGCGGATTCTATTCCTTGCATGGTGCAAGCATTTATATCTATGAGTATGATTGTTTGTATTGTTTTGGGTGTTTTCTGTATATTATTATATATGTATTTATAAAAACAATAATGGCACTATGTGAATTTTCCTGGGTTATTATTTTTTTCGTAATAAAAATAAATTTAATTGTCAGTTACAAGAGTGCTAAAATATGTGCATATAGAGAAAATGTGAATAGGTATTTCGAGGTTAGATAATTTATCTGTGTAAGTAGCTAATACAAGAGTTTGGTAACGAGTGATAATATAGGTAATTTGACTGTATCCTAACTGCATATCAATGGTAAATAAATATATACTTGCCATTTGAAACACCGATAGATAATAGCGTAATGAGATGAATTTATTTTTGTAATGATATCTTCAAAGTATTGTAGAAACTAAGTTTGTTGAATGAATCTACTTACCTGCCTATTTTGTGTCAAGGTAATACATATAATTTTATGTACGTGCCTTTAAACTACTGAATAAAGTTTGCTTTGTAAAAAGTTTGTTTTTATTTTTACAATAACACTTAGGTACCCACTTAGTAAAAAGGAACATTTCTTTCTTGTGGTTTATTTTGAGGGTTGATAATGGAATGGTGCACCCGCCTGCGCTAACGGTTTACGCTGGCGGGGCACCAGTGGAGGATGATAAGATGAACATGAGGTCAGGTCAGTTAGCCCATCATGCAAATTCACCAGGAATTTAACATGATGGTTTCCAGGGGGAACCGCGTGGAGGTCGACCTGACATGGTACATTGCTAGTAATGGGGTTATCAATCCACATTACTAACAATCCCCTTCCCCCCTCTTTCTTGTGGTTTAGTACTCCGATTTGAAACCCAAACGACATTGTTTGATTGAGGTCGTAAAAAATATGTGCTCCAATGTCCCTTTATCTAGGCTACATTCACAGAGAGATTGGTCACGAACTCTGATTTTAGAAAGGAATTTGAGAGTACAATTTATGTCCTAGTCGGAGGCGGCATATAACTGAAGTAAGCCACTTCTCCAGTGTACGTTGGGAGAAAAACTACTGTTTGGTATTTACGGTTGGATGCGATCACAATTCTTTTTACCAGTCTAGTCTTAAGCCATAACTTTTTAAAACACTTGCTGTGAGTGGTATGGTAGTGGTGGTAAGTTACATTTGTTCCAAGTGATCATTGGCTCAGTGCTTGACTGACAACATACTGTCAGTCTGACAGTTATACAGTCAGAATGACAATTTGATTGTGAATCTGATATCGACTTGTATTGAGTGTGATTTAAAAACAAAATAAAAAAAATTCAATAGTTTGATATTGATAATCGATTTTCATTTATTTATTACATTACCATTCTCAGTTTAAATAAATTATTGATATTGAAGTGTTCAATAGAACTACACAGTAATTTTTATTTTATTACTGATCGATTAAAGTGGTAGTTTATATTATTAAAATGCAGAGGTTCGTATAAAAGTGTTTATTAAATGAATTGCTAAAAATACAAAATTTAAATACTCAAATAGATTCTCTTACCTATAGGTACAGTTAATATGTAAATCTGACTGGTTGAAAATAATATTGTTAAATTAAAAATATGAAGAGAAATTAGTAGACTTTTTTTAATTTCACGGATTTTTACTAAGAAAATAAACACTGTTTTGAATTGTAAACAGTTATACAACCGGGAGCGTAAATTATAATAGGGAGCTCATATCTCGTTTACGTAATTACAATTAGATTATTTGTTTGTAACCTACAACACAAAAATGTTGAACCAGATTTTAAAAATTAATTCACTATGTTTTCTGCATGTAACATGCATGGTATTTTATTAAAAAAATATAAGATTACTACTATAATTATACAATTATAGTTGTATATAGTAGTACTATATAAGCCTATACAAGATTGGCATGTATACACATGCCAATCTTGGGGCATTTTTATTGATGGTCTCTGTGGTCTTGCAGTTTAGCACACCACTTTACTTCCAATGATTGCAGGTTCAATTCCTCACATGGTGCAAACAATTCATGAGTATAATTTTTTATATTGCTCTGGGCGTTTTTTATGTATATTATGTATGTATTTATAAAAAAATATATATGTATTTAAGTATTTGTATCAGTTGTCTAGTACTCGTAGCACAAGCTCTGATTACCATAGGACTAGATGGCGCTGTGTTAATAGTTCAGGGTTATTTATTTATTGTTACTGATATTCTATTACAGGATTGTGCATTTGGATTTGAAAGGAGCTCCACCTAAAATACCATATCTACAAGAGGTAAATATTTATATATTTATAATGGATACTTTCATCCTACACCTTAGGTCTCCTATACATATATAAGCTAACAAACTGAGGCAGTGAAACAGAAATAAACAAGAATAACATTAAGTTTACTGTCAATATAAAGACTTTAAATAAATAAATGGGTACTCTTATTAAAATTATAGCAAAAAGTAAAACTAGGTAAAGTCAACAAAAGTTGAATTAAAATATTTTAGTGTACTGGGTCATAAGTCTCAGGATACTCTTATTAAAATTATAGCAAAAAGTAAAACTAGCAAAAGTCAACGAAAGTTGAATTAAAAAGTTTTTGTGTAGTGGGTCATTAGTATCAGGATACTCTTATTAAAATTATAGCAAAAAGTAAAACTAGGAAAAGTCAACAAAAGTTGAATTAAAATATTTTCGTGTACTGGGTCATTAGTATCAGGATACTCTTATTAAAATTATAGCAAAAAGTAAAACTAGGAAAAGTCAACAAAAGTTGAGTTAAAATATTTTCGTGTACTGGGTCATTAGTATCAGGATACTCTTATTAAAATTATAGCAAAAAGTAAAACTAGGAAAAGTCAACAAAAGTTGAATTAAAATATTTTTGTGTACTGGGTCATTAGTATCAGGATACTCTTATTAAAATTATAACAAAGAGTAAAACTAGGAAAAGTCAACAAAAGTTGAATTAAAATATTTTCGTGTACTGGGTCATAAGTCTCAGGGACTACTCAGAGTTTCCTTCTATGTCACATGATGGACTCAGCTCCCGCATGGTGAATCTATGGTATGTTGGAAGTTTGTCTTTCATATCACTTGACATGTTACATTTAGCCATGCACCATAACAGTTCATAGTAGATTTGACTGCTGTAAAAAATATATCAACAATCAAGCTTGCTTTTTAAGCTGTGTTTCAGCTGTAGAGTGTGATCAGGCAATAAAATTAGATAGGATAAGAGGTGATATTACATTAGTCCTCGATCTTAGTCCCATTTATTGATACAAACATGTGAATTTATTGAAAGTACACAAAATTATATGTATATACAGCCTTGGCCAAAAGTATTAGTTACTATTATTAATTAACTATTATTAATATTATTTTTACTATTATTGAAAAATGCACAATTCATGTTTACCAATTGAACAATGAATAAATGCTTATCTTAGATGGCATATCGGGGTCACAAATACCTTCCTAGAAAAGCAAACCTCTATTTTTGATGGTCATAAAACACCTGGTGACTGAAAAGAAAGGATTCGATTTTTTGCATTATTATTAGTCAATGTTTGGTCACTTGTATTCAAGACTCTAACTAGTAAACAAGTTTTTATATCTAACTCAGTGATTAAATTGACGCCTAATTTACTTAAAAATACCGAAAATAAGTGAAATTAGTTTGGAAAATCTAGTAAAAATATATCTTCTCCATGAACAGGGGAAGTCGCAAAAAGAAATTACTAAGTTAGTGAAATGTTCGCGATTCGCCGTGCAATTTGCCATCAAACGGTTTGCTCAGGCTGGCAGTCATGCTAATAATCCAAAAACAGGCAGAAAACGTGTGACTTCGAAGCATGAGGATAGAAAATTAATACGCGAATCTATGAAAGATCGGGAGAAAACATCATCAAACCTTGCTGCTGCTTTGTCCGAAGAGGCTGGAAAGCCAATAAGTGCTCGGACCACCAGAAGACGACTTCAAGAAACGGGCTTAAAAGGATACAAAGCCAGGAAGAAGCTCTGGCTTTCAGAAGCTAACAAAAGAAAACGGCTTGAATTGGCTCTACGGCATTGACATTTTAGTGAGGAAGATTGGGCCAATGTGGTGTGGTCTGACGAATATAACTTTGAAGTAAGTAAATTTTACTGCTTTTGTTATTAATAATCATTGTCAGCTATTTATTTTACTGAAATAATAAAAGTTAGGGTAGTTTAAAAAAACTCTTTATTTTCTTTTTTCAACAGATATTTGGAACGCCAGGTGTGACCTTCGTGAAGCGACGTGTGGGCGAAGAATACCATTCAGATTGCGTTGTACCGACGGTAAAGCACGGAGGAGGCAGCGGAATGATCTGGAGCTGATTGGATGCTCAAGGGGTTGACGAAATGTTTGTTTGTGAAGGTCATAAGAACAGCGAAAAGTACATAAAAGTGCTTGAAACTGCGCTTATACCTTCGCAAACGAGTATTTTCGGCGATACCAACTTAGACGGAGTTATATTCTAGCAAAACAATGTACCTTGTCCTAAGTCAGCGACTTTGATATATTGGTTTACTGAAAACAACATTGTCTTGTAGCATGGGCTAGCACAGCCCCCAGATTTGAACCCAATTGAGCATCTTTGGAGCATTTTGAAGCGCAAGATTAAAGAGCATAGTACTACATAGAAAACGGCATTAAAAATGGGTTAGTACAAGAATGGCATGCCATTATAAGGGAGGATTGCACTATGCTTGTACGCAGCATGCCAGCTAGAATTAGTGCAGTAATGAAATCTAAAGAAGAACCGACTAGATTTTAAGTTTTTTTTATTCTTTTTTGTGTAATTTAATGGTAATAAATCAATTCAAAAAGTATAAGTTGTTTTTAATTATTATTTTTAGTAAAATGTAGGGTGCCTAATACTTTTGGCCAAGGCTGTATATGGATGATAATGGAATGATCTGTGCTAAGGATTTACGCGGGCGCCCAGTGGAGGATGATAGGTGAAAATGAGGACAGGTCAGTTAGCCTATTATGCCAAATTCACCAATTTATCTCTATGGTTTCCAAGGAAAACCATGTTGAAGTCAACCTGTTATGGTACATTGTTAGGTTAATTCATATTATTATCAATACCTTTCCCCCCTAATGGTTATTATTGCATATATACAGACACCATGAACCTGACATCATTAACCTGACATTATGAACCTGACATCATGTTGTGATACTAGCAACAAGGTCTCAGTACTAATAATCCCCTTCCACAATAATATGTTATTTCAGGTGCTACTAAAAGCAAAGTCATGGGGTGCTACAGCCATCCTCATAGAATGGGAAGATACATTTCCATACATCGGACAGTTGATCGAAATTGGCAGCTTGAGTAATTACAATGGAGATGACATGTATACAATGGATGATGTGAAGCATATACTGAAATTTGCTAAAAATAACGGATTGGAAGTAGTAAGTATATTATAGAAATAATCTATATTTAAATATTTTTGTATAGTCATATTTTTTTTCTTTTATATATAGGTGTACATAGACAATTGTTATATATTGTATACCATATTAGATGTCCTCTGTATTATATCGGTCCATCACACAGCGGATGTCACGGGTTCGATTTCCTCACACTGTACAAGCATTGGTATTTATGAGTTTATCTGGGTGTTTTCTATATTATGTATGTATTTATAAAATAAAGTATTTGTATCAGTTGTATAGTACTCAGAACACAAACTTTGCTAAGCTTGGGACTAGATGGTGCTGTGTGTTGTGGTTGAGGTTGAGGTTGAGTATGAGTTGTAATGAGGTGAATTTTATTATTAAAAAAAAATATATATATATTTTATTACTTTTATACACAAGCTTTGATTAGGGACTAGATGGCGCTGTGTGAATAGTCTTGGGGTTAATGTAACTATAAAAACGATATTTTCATTTGCCACAGATACAATTAATTCAAACAATTGGCCATATGGAGTTTGTGCTGAAACATCCAGTTTACGAGAGGCTGAGGGAGGTGCCTCAATCACCGTCCGTACTTTGTCCATCGAACCCTGAAGCTCAGAGTGTAGTTCGTATGATGCTGGATCAAGCATTGCAAGTGCAACCTGATGCGAAGTACTTGCATATTGGAGCTGATGAGGTGATCATCTCGGTTTTATACCCTTGAAGATCCAATAAAACATGCTAGTTTTGTTGCTACATTTTCATTATTATTTAATCGAAATAGGTGTATTTTGCGGAAGTCCATTTCACTACTTAATGGATTTATATAATTTTGTTTAATTCCTCTACAAATAGCATGTGTGAGACCACAAACATTCGGTGTGGAAACTTTACTATCGTTATGATGGCGATCAAATTACGACCGTTCTTGAGTCTACACTCCAGTCAGCTATATCCGAACTTTATTTAACACCTGATGACTCTTCGGAGGCGGAACACGTGTCGCAATATAAGAACAGTAAACAATTTTTAAAGAAGAATAATAAATAACAGGAAGAGTATCTCTGTGCTCATGGCTCATCTATTCCATTCTATATTCTATTCTATTCATAATAAGCTCTGCTTGGCGTGGGACTAGATGGTGCTGTGTGAATTGCCCTGAATTATTATTATTGTTACTATAATTTGTAGGGACACACAGTATAAATATTCCCCCCAATAGTTATATTGTGTATATTTCAAACATATTCAATATTGAAAATTCCAGTAACAATTTTTTTTTATAATTATACGGACACTTGGTACACATATTCGTATTAGACGGCCTTGGTGGTGTAGCGGTTTAGACTGCTTACTTCCGATGGTCGCAGGTTCATTCCTCGTCATTGGAAGTAAAATTGGTGTGTTAAACCGCTAGATCACCGAGGCCGTCATATTATTATTATTACTATTGTTTCCAGGCGTGGCATTTAGCCAAATGTCTAGACTGTGAAACAAGGATTGCTACAAGAGACTATAAACTGAAGGAATGCCTGTACCTGGATCACATACAAAGTGTCGCGACATATTTGAAGCAAAGACGACCAGATCTGACTGTGCTTATCTGGGACGACATGTTGAGACCTGTGGACTTCGATACTTTGAAGTGTAAGTGTTTTGTAATATATCATCGTCATTTGTAATATATAGTAACTCATATTATTAATTTCTGTTAATAGAATAGAATATAATAGAATTCAAATAAACTTAATTCAAGCACTTTTGAACAATCATAATAATTTTTTTGTAATCTACCGCTTAATACTTTGAAATGTAAGTATTTTGTAATATTAAGTTGCTATTATTTTTTTATGTTTGTTAAGACTCATTCTAACGTTATTAATAATTACTTTAATTAATACAAAGTTATAATCAATATTTGTTACAATAACTTTTAGGACGATGCATATAGTGCTAGACCTAATTTTTTTCTAATTTTAGTATATTGACCTAATAGGTAAGCGGATTGTTAATTTGTTGTTTATTTTAATATTAGATATATATAAAAATATCTCGTAACAGTGGTTGCGTGCACAGTGGTAGTAGTTCCATACTTCTTCGAATCGGCTTAACAAATTTTGATGAAATTTTATATTTGTTTGTTTATATAGTGGTTATCTACTTTATATACCCCTAACCGTAAGTGATAAGATTAACCCACCCAAAATTTTTACTATATTTTTAATTATTTTTTTTCTACACATTAAAAATGCATAAAACTCTAAATTTTCACTGTTCTACTGTTAACTCTTATTTTTTAACTGCGATATATGACAAAACTTTTTATTAAGACTATATGTTTCAAAATTTGCAGCATACCAATTAGGCGAGCTTGTAGAACCAGTCGTCTGGGATTACAACCCGTTGGAGAGTTTCTACTTAAGTCCAATGATATGGAGCATGTACAGTCAGCTGTTCTCACAGGTGTGGGCCGCGTCGGCATACAAGGGCGCAAGTGGTAGTAATAAGGTAATAAATTCGTGACAAATTTATCACGATGGATTCCAGGGGGAACTGCGTGGAGGTCATTACCATTGTGATTTTTTTTCTATTAGATGAATATGGATGATGAACTGTTTACGCAGGCGGGGCACCAGTGGAATATGATAAGATGCGCATGACCTCATGCTCATCTTATCATCCTCCACCGGTGTCCCGCCAGCATAAACAGTTAGCGCAGGGTGCACCATTCCATAATCATCCAATAGAAAAAAAATCACAATGTTGGGGGGGAAAGGGAATTGTTAGTAATGTGGATTTCTGATATTTTTTTAAAGGATGATAATGTAATGGTGCACCCGCCTGCGCTAACGGTTTACGCTGGCGGGGTGCCAGTGGAGGATGATAAGATGAGCATGAGGTCAGATCAGTTAGCCCATCGTGATAAATTCACCAAGAATTTATCAAGATGGTTTCCGCGTGGAGGGTCAACCTGACATGGTTAGCAATAATATCATAAATCAGAGGTGAAGGGGATTGTTAGTAACGTGGACTGATGATGAAACCATCTTGATAAATTCCTGGTGTATTTGTCACGATGGGCTAACTGAACTGACCTCATGCTCATCTTATCATCCTCCACTGGCACCCCGTTAGCGCAGGCGGGTGCACCATTACATTATCATCCTTTAAAAAAATATCAGAAATCCACATTACTAACAATTCCCTTTCCCCCCCAACATTGTGATTTTTTTTTCTATTGGATGATTATGGAATGGTGCACCCTGCGCTAACTGTTTACGCTGGCGGGACACCGGTGGAGGATGATAAGATGAGCATGAGGTCAGTAGGTCTACCACGAAAATTACTGCCGATTATCGCGTAACGAAACGAAAGACGAAATACTAGTCCCAGGTCAGTTAGCCCATCGTGACAAATTCCCCAGGCAGCACTGTGAATTAATACAATGTGAGTACATCCGTCACACTCGTGAACGGGTGCTGCTTGTGAGGTCTGGTCTGTTCGGGTTACGAACACTGATTAGATTTTTTTGCTTTTGCAATAGCATATGCTGGTGGTCATTTTGTTCTCCCAAATTTGAATTTATAAATTAATCTGTATTATTGTAAACATGTACGTACAACATTTATTTGAAAAGAATACGAGCTGAGTTTCTTGTCAGTTCTTCTCATCTCGAAATCATTCCGAACTGACGGTAGATTTGACATATCATAAGAGTCTGTTATAGACCTACATGATAAAGATATTTTGAATTTTGAATTTGAATGTAATGCCCTACTTTTCAGATGGTGGCGCCAGTGAGCCGATATGTAAGTAACCAAGAGGCCTGGATCAAAGTCATCCAAACTCATTCACCCACCGTTAAGTTTGGAGGGATATTTCTAACTGGTTGGTCGAGGTACATACGTTATGAACCAGGTGATTGCTTAGATTGACTAATATTATAAAAGCTGAGCGTCTGTCTGTCTATTCTTCAATACTCTCTCTTGCTCTCGGACTCTTTTTTTTCAGTGTATTATGATGGAATCATAAAATAAAATTTTATTTATTTATTTATTTATTTACTTACACAACTATTATTACAGGCCTAAGCCCAATACAATAGTGTATCTAATTCTATATTATACATGTTCGTTAACATAACATATAACATACAATGTTGTTTTTGTGAATTCACACAGACTACACACAAACAAGTCCGTTGTTTCTGCTATTTTATTGAGAGTGGCCAGTGCGTGTGTCATGGGCGCACTGACCACTCTCAATAAAATAGCAGAAATAGCTTGTTTAATAAAATATCTTTATTCATGTAGGTTTATTACAAACTCTTATGATATGTCAAATCTACCGTCAGTTCGGAGTGCTATCGAGCTGAGAATTGACAAGAAACTCAAGTCTTCTTTTCAAATGCTTGTACATGATTACAGAAATATAGATTCATTTTTAAATTAAATTAGGGAGTATATCGTGACCAACCATCTATGCTAACGGTTTACACTAGGGGGGCACCAGTGTAGGATGTTAGTTGAGCATGAAGTCAGGTCAATTAGCCCTTCGTAGTGAATTCATCAGAAATTAACCTCAATGGATTCCAGGGGGAACCACGTGGAGATCATACTGACATGGTATTACTAGAAATGGGGTTATTAGCTGCCTTTTCACTAACGCTCTTTCACGCAGGAAAGAATGAGCATATAAATGTAGATAAAGAGAAAAAGCGCGCGGGCCTTCTCATATCCTTCAACATAATTGTTTGCATCCGTCTGGATGTATTGTATGTATATAATATATGTATTTACAACAAAAAAATCTAAATATTTATATCAGTTGTCTAGTACTCGTAACACAAGCTCTGCTTACCGTGGGATTAGATGGCGCTGTGTTAATTGTTCAGGGTTAATTATTTATTTTTTTAAAGAAATAAATGGATATCGAAAGAAATTAAACGTGACGAAAGATAGGTTATATTTTAGGTAAAAGCAGGTGAAGTTGCGGGTAATAGCTAGTGTGTGTATATTCGTATATATATAATATATGTATATATACATAAAGCTTGTCTTATAGATTATTATTAGATATCCTACTAATCACTTGGTTCATGACTCTAAATATATAATTGTAAGTTTGTACAGTAGTTTAAGAAACTAAAAGAAGCTAAAATAGTTTCCAAAACAAGAAATAGAATAGTTGTATTTGACGATATAAACTATATTTCAATTTTGCACCCGCCTGCGCTAACATGTTTAACTGCGTTTACGATGGCGAGGCACCAGTGGAGGAAAATAAGATGAGCATGAGGTCAGATCAGTTAGCCCATCGTGACAAATTCACCAAGAATTTATTACGATGTATTCCAGGGGAACCGCGTGGAAATCTATGGACCCTGTTAGTTACAGTATCATATATGTAATGTGGACGGCAGAAATTAATTTAATTAATTTTTATTGTTTTTTTAATAATTTGTTTAGGTCAAACAGTTACATATTGTCTAATAGTTGAGGAGTACTTTTTTACAATGTTTTAGCGAATGTATCGACCACTACGTTAACTGCTATTTCTTATAGTATAAAACAAAGTCGCCGCCGCTGTCCATGACATGACACATGACATGACTGTTCATGACAGCGGCGGCGGCGGCAATGACTAGCTTTTGACCGCGGCTTCGCTCGCGTTAATTTATCCCCTTAGCGGTGGAATTTATCAAAATCCTTTATTAGAGGATGCCTACGTCATAGTAGCTTTATGCATGCAAAGTCTCAGCCCGATCGGTTTAAAATTGACAAAGTTTCATACAAACTTGCATCCCTTATTTTATCCTCTTGAGGGTGGAATTTATCAAAATCTTTTCTTAGCGGATGTCTACGTCATAATACCACCTGCATGTCAAATTTCAGCCCGATCCGTCCAGTGGTTTGAGCTGTGTGTTGATAGATCACTATGTCAGTCACCTTTGAGTTATATACATTTAGAGATTCAAGAGGAAGGTTTATAATACATGCCTGTTATAGTATAGAATAAGCGGAGAAATTCAAAGATTTGTAATGGATCTGAGCGAAGCCGGGACGGGTTGTTATCACTTTTATTATACATAAGTATAACGTATATCGTGGCCAGAAGTTCTTTTCCAAGTGGAACCTTAATTTGTTGGGGTGATATTCAAATAGAATAATTTATCTTACAGGTATGATCATTATGCAACTTTATGCGAGTTGCTGCCTGTGTCTCTGCCCAGTCTGGCGAGCTGCCTCAAAGTGTTGTGCAAGACTTGTGACATTCCTAATGGTAAGAAATCTTGTCATCATTACAATGTATGGAGACATGACTCCTCAGTTCTCTGGGACAGTGTATGTGGTACAAAAGTAAACGTAATTATATACCTATATCTATACTAATATTATAAAGCTGAAGAGTTTGTTTGTTTCGACGCGCTAATCTCAGGGACTACTGGTTCGAATTGAAAAATTATTTTTGTGTTGAATAGTCCATTTGTCGATGAAGGCTTTAAGCTATATAACATTGCACTACGATCAATAGAAGCGAGGCAATAGAGAAAATGTTGCAAATACGAGGAAAATTATTCATATTGGAAGGCTTCTGTTGCGTGCACTGCCTAAATGGTTCAAGTTCATAAGCGGCTAAAATGTCCTACATGAATAAATGATTTTTGAATTTGAATTTGAAAGAGGTAAAACAAATGATAACTTTTAAACACATTCGTTTGTTCCAGGACTTCTGATAAGCGAGACGCTACCATCAGACCAATGGCCGGGGGAACAGCTGGCGCTGCTCATACGACACTTCGACTCCGTGAGAGAGCGATGTCGGGAATACCTACGAGATAGTGTGTAAGTATTTCATATGTATTTCTGTAACTTGGACAACTCACAAAACGAGGAATAGGCGAATATTACTACTGGGACCTCGAGGCCTCGTTGCTAGCAATGAAGCAATGTGACTCTCTAAGTATTTTATATACGTTTCTGATGAACAACATTAAGGAATAATGGCCCAATTAATGTCAACATGACACTTATATTTTGAGTGATTTTTTTTTTATATTATTTTTTATTTTTAAGGTAGGAATTTAATAGTAATTTATTTTATTCTTTTCAGTATAGAAACATGGATGAATTCTTGGCAACTTGAACATAACTATATCAATCCATCTAAAATACAAGAAGTCATATTTAGAGCTAACATGTATGTAACTATTCACTACTTAATTTCAAATAATAATATTAACTCGTTACTATTCACACTGCGCCATCTAGTCCCAAGCTAAGCAGAGCTTGTGTTATGGGTACTAGACAACTGATATAAATACTTAGATACATTTTTTTGTAAATATATACGTATTATACATAGAAAAAACCGAGACATTGATATAAACAATTATACTCATTAATATAAATGTTTTTACCGTGCGCGGAATCGAACCCTCGACAATCAGTGGTGAACTGCTAGGACACCGAGGCCGTTAAAATAACATGCATATTATTCGAAAATTGATGATCCAGTTGTCCAATGAAGCAATGTAATCTAAATTTTATTATATCTGATGTAATGTACAAAACTGGAATCCCTCGACATAGGCTCTTCCAATGAGAAAGGAGGAACATGACGTATTATAATGATTTGTTGTTGATTTTTTTTAATATTAATTTTAATTTTTAAAGACAATTTCATATATGTCAGTAAAATTTGTTTTATTTTTTCTTTAAAAATGGATGAATTCTATGGCGTTACATAACTATATCAATCCATCTAAAATACAAGAAGTCATTTTATCATGGATTATATATATAATAATTTAATAATAATATTAACTCAGTACTATTCACACAGCGCCATCTAGTCCCAAGCTAAAACAAAGCTTGTGTTATGGGTACTAGATAACTGATATAAATACATAGATACATTTTTTTTTGTAAATATGTACATATTATACATAGAAAAACCCACATTGATATAAACAATTATACTCATTAATATAAATGTTTGTACCGTGCGAGGAATCGAACCCTCGACAATCAGTGGTGAACTGCTATGCATATTATATGTAAACACTCGAGTTAATGCATTTATTTATGTAATATATGGACTCTATTTAAATAAATGGTTTATTTTACAAAAAATAATTTTTAAATTTTAATTTATTTTTATATTAATAATTACAGTGACAAATAGGTTTCGCGCGCATATGTCGTGACGGGGTGCCACAACGCTGGTTTTCCTATACATATATAATAAATATAATAAAATAATAATAATATACACATACATATATGCGGATAACACAGAGTAAACATTTACGACATACTACCATATATAAATAAACATCAAACATAACTACTCACTGAAACATAAAATATAAAATCTTAACTTCTCTATATTAGCTTCTAATTTAGGCCGTTGTGCGCGTAGAGTCGAGACCCTGGACTCCATGTTAATATAATCACTACGAGTGATTTACTTTCAACCAGTTGATTGTGTATTTAACCTAATGACTTTAATGAATTAGTACTAGTTGGAGTTTGTGATCACATATTTTAATGTAAAAATGTTTATATACAATAATTCTTTAAAAAAGCAACACGCAAATTTCTTGTTCGTTCGTATTGTGTTGAGACAGCATTCCAAATGAGCGGCGGATGAAAAAAAAATTACTATATAAAAGTGTTTAATGTTAAATTTATTTTGAATAATGATTTTTCTATTCTGTTCTATTTATTCTATGCTTCTATTTATGTATTTACAGATTACTTACAGAAATACTACAAATCAATAACGATATGATAGCTCAACTCGTAAACTTTTTTGGACCGAGAACTGTCCAGGAGTGGATTGAAACGAATCTGGCGCCAACTGCCAACGAGCTGACGAGACTGTTGGCGACCGCTCACCAAAGGTGCATAGCTCCTGCGTCTGTTTGTCCCACATAATCATGCCATCTTTTATTCCATCAACGAAAGTTTCTTTTGGGAGCGTTGTGCTTTAGCGGGTTACCAAGAGATCATGAGATTATATCTGGCACAAAAATTTGTGTCAGTTATACTTCTGACTGAGTCTCCGGTAAAGGAAACACCGGTAACAAAGTATTAACTCGCTTCCTGCAATGTTGGAATTTTTTTATGAGAATAGAATGATGATCCCTCCTGCGGTAACGGTCAACACTGAACCGCGGGCACCAGTAACCCTAGCACCTGAACTAAACGGCGGGGCACCAGTGTAGGATGATAAAATGAACATGAGGTCCGGTCAGTGGTCAGTCCGGCAGTGACAAATTCATCAGGAATTTATCATGATGCTTCCTGAAACCGCGTGGAGGTCAACCTGATATCGTACATTGCTAGCAATGGGATTTATAGTCCAAATTACTACTAATCTTCCCCAAGGGGATGTGGGATTCTTACCCACTAGAAACCACACATTCTACCGCGACTCCGGCGGTGTTAGTCCTCCCTGTAGATGGTATTGGGAGGCCCCATCTCTTTGTTAGGGCGCCCTATTCAGTTCTGGTAGTGTGGGGTTACACGCGCCCGCTTCCGGGGCCATTTGATTAGGGCGCTGCTTTATATTTAACTCTAGTTCAGCTGTCTACCTTAGTTTAGAAGAATTATCAAGATACTATAATAATATACTTCTATTACTATTAATCTTGTTTAATCATACTCTTAACATAGTTTGTCTATCTATAATCTATGTCTAACATATTCAACATCTGTAGTCTCGACCAGTGATTCTCAACCTTGTTTCATTACGACACACTTTTAACGATTTCGAAATTTGACGTCACACAACGAAAATCATAAGTTTAAAGATTATTTACTGCGTAAAATAAGTTTTATATGTGCGAAATAAAATCATATGCACTACACAAATAACAGTATGTTTATTTAGGGATTCATTACAAGTTAATATTTCTATATCTAAAATTTGGCGACACACTCTCAGAATTTCGTTACACACAAAAGTACGCGGTACATTGGTAGAGAATCACTGGACTAGATATAGATACGCTATTGTACCTATATATCTTGCATAATAAACAATTAAAATAGAAAATTATGACATTAAATTACTCTTTATTCTTCTTCTCATAGAAAATGTACTTAATTAAACTATATCTATAACTATTACTATCTGATGGGCTGTATGCTTGTTTGCCACCGTCATAGTATAAGAAAAGTATAAAAAAGATAAAAAATACAACATTTAAGAACGTTGTGTCTATTGAAGAATGAGATATGGCAGAGAAATTTCAGGGTACAGAGGCATACCATCCTATTCCTCTGAAATGGCAACGCAAGGGGCTACGGACGTGATAATATACGTGGCACTCTTGTGTATAGCCTTTTTTCGGATTGCTCTCATACTGTTGGCCACAGCTGACGTTTACAGCTCGATACAGTCGATAGGGGACGAGTGCAGATAGCACTCCAAACCCGCGGAACGACTCATGAAGCGGCTGAAGGCCAACTCTCACCTGACGGATAAGACTTTAGTTTGAGGGCAACGGTAGTGGTTCGAACTTCGAAGCAGGCCGTCTTAATTTCGAACTCCGTTTGCATTGGACGGGGTTCGATCGGAGGGGTGACCGGGGGCGGTATATAGCTGACGGATGTCATTTACTACTGTCTGCCGTCACCTTCTTTGCCATTACCTACCTTTACACGACACATTCTTTCACGCGTGATTTAGAAAACCAGCGCGTGCAAACGTGAAGGATTGTATTTAGTTATTTTTTTAGTCACACTTACTCGCATATTTTTGCGTTAACATTTAACTTTATTTCAATTTTTATTTACAATTTTCAAAACACTCGATTTATAAATTATTAATAACTCTATATTATGTCTTTGCTCCATATTCAGATGTCCGCCATTTTGCAATGATAATTAATTATTAAAAATGGCGCTAAAGCACGCACGATTGACGGACGCGTTCTCTCGTGCATTATAGCCTATTGGCGCGTGAAAGTGCGTACGTGTAAAGACAGAAAGGTAGTTACATTTAAAAAAATAAGCGGCCTATTTGTTAATTAGTGATATTTTGAAGGCTAAACGAATTTACATCGTTTCCGCATAAGCTGTGTATGCGTTTGTTTCCGTAATACGAATATCTACAGCAAAATATTTAATATAATATGAGCGAGAGGAAATAAAGGCTATTTTGTTATTTTGTTGTTCGGCAATGATGTCTGTTTTGTTTATTGTTGTTGTTGCTATGCAGTTGATTAATAGAGAGAATTAATGGCGTTGATTAATTAATAGACTATTATTACTGAATGTTAGAAAAATAAATGAATAAAAATAATACAATTGTGTGTTATTTACTACCTTTTAATTTGGTTTACCCTTCATTTCGACCCCAAAGATTGGCCGAAATAAAAAAAATCTGTTTATTTATTTTATTTGATATTTACAAATACATAACTGGTCTCTGTACTAGGCGAACCTTTATCTTTGGAGTCCATACATTGAATTGCCAAATGTTATTAACTATTATAGATCAGTGATCAGAATGGATTTTTACATATCATAAGAGTCTGCAATAGACCCGACATGAATGAAGGTATTTTAATTTGATTTGATTTTTCGGACTACTCTAATGCTGTTGGCTGCAGCTGGTCTTTACAGCTTCACTGGACGATAGAGTGCGAGTGCAGATGGCACTCCAAACACACCGAATTACTTATGGAGCAGGCGGCGGTTGAAGGCCGACTCCCGCCTGACGGATACGACTTTTGTCTTAGGGCACAGTAGGGGTTCGAACCTCGGCTCAGGCCGTCGTAATTTCGATCCCAGTTTGAATTGGATGGGGGATCGATCGGATGGGTGGACGAGAGATCGATCGGATAAATTTAACACAGTACTAAATATCTCTGCGTATCAATTTATATTTCGGACTAAATATCCGGTGATGGGAACACCGATAACAAACCGAATTGGTAGACTCACCCGCCGTCACGTAGTAGTCCAAATACCCAATGGAATTTGACCATAACGCTTATAGTTTTTTAATGGATGATAATGGAATGGTGCACCCGCCGGCGCTAACGGTTTACGATGGCGGGGCACCAGTGGAGGATGATATAGCCTTAGCCTTTTGATTACTATGGCGCAGTTGTAAACGTGTTAGTTTAATATAATAACAAAAGTCTGTTCTGCCCAGAAAAATATTTACGAAAAAAGAACTTCATAAAACTACTAGTTGACGCGCGCAACTTCGTCTGCATCATCACTTATCTGATTATGTATCGCCCAAATTACATAATATCTTTTTAAATTATACACTATATTCTGCTATATAAACTATTACTGTAAAGTTTCATCAAAATCCGTTCAGTAGTTTTTGCGTCAAAGAGTAACAAACATCCATCTATACTCACAAACTTTCGTGTATATGTTATTAATAGGATGCTATACGAGAGGTGGCCGTATCGTTTAAAGCAATCTTTTACAGACTTTCACTAACTGACGAGGTCTTGGGTTCGATTTTCGTTCGAACCAATTTATATAGCGACATTTCCTAATATATTATTTTGTGTCTATTGCCAATATATATTAAACAATTTCCGTTATATATGCTGAGACCGTACTTCGACCGTTTCCTCTCGATCCGTGTACAGTCAGACACATAAAACACAGCGGCGACCTTACCCATTTACCTTACCCCTTTGTTCTACGCGAAAAGTATATGATGGGAACGATTATGCGGAAATTTTCCGCTGATTCAAGAAAACTGTGTCTTATTTTACACTCTTTTTTTTTATTTCAATATTTTAGTGTTCATAGTAATTTTGATCATTTGCGATTAAATGCCTAAATCGGGAAGTTTAAAGTTTTATATATTTTAAATTTAATTTTTTGTTTCAGGAAGTTTTTTTAAATGTGTATCTTGGATGTTACTTGGAAAAACAGGGATGTTTGTGTTACGCTTTCACGCAAAAACTACTGAACCGGTTATCACGAAATTTATTAAAAAAAAGGGTGCGAAACCGCGGGTAAAAGCTAGTAATATTATAAACGCGAAAGTTTTTAAGTGTGGATGTTTGTTACTGTTTCACCCAAATACTGCTGAATGGATTTTGATGAAACTTTACAGTATTATAGCTTATGCATCACACCTAGGGTATATTTTTCATTGAAATTTAACGCGTGTGAAACCGCCGGCTCTATTAGTATTATATAAAGTGGTCAGCAGAGTTCCGGCTATTATTGAATATTCTAACAAAAACAAAGCGGTTGAAGAGGGATGGCATTGGAAAAGGCATACTTTTTTTATTTACTTATCTTAAATAGTTTTTTTTATATGATAATATTTAATGAAATCATTGTAAATTAATAAATATTTACTCTTATAAGCATTAATCCTTAAAAGATTAAAAAACTTAGATTATTTTTATTTATTTTTAACCAGTTGAACGGATCCTAATTAATCTTGACGTGAAATAAGATTATATCATAAGGACGGACATAGACTAAGTATCACTGAAAATCAGCGCTGCAGTGACACACTGCGGCACCAGCACCAGCTGAGTGGAGGCCCTTTCAGCTCATCTCGAAATATTAGTTTAAATTTCTTTATATTTTTACTTTGTACTTTTAAAAAAAAAAATTCAAACCGTTTGTAATTTATGGAGCCGACTGTACTGGGACGTACCTACTATAAATCAAAATACATTAAAACAAGGCCCCTAATAATCTAGGCTATAAATCAGGACAGTTTGCGCCGACACCGCCCGTATCTACAGCAGCCCTTTTCTCGGTATGATCGATCGGGTGTTGGCCGATATTAAACACCAGGATTGCCCCAAAAAGTTGGTATAAATTGATTAAATTATACACTTATTACCTTTCCGTGAGATTTCGTGCATGTATTTTTGTTTATTGTGGGTTTTTTGAGCTATTGTCCGGTTTTTTTTCGGAGTACTCTAATGCTTTTGGCCGCAGCTGGCCTTTACAGCTTTCCCGAATGATAGCGAGTGCAGATCACTCTTGGGCACTCCCAAAACCAAAGGAAGGACTTATGGAGTGGCTGAATGTATTAATATGTATTATAGATATACATCCCGTATATATGTTGTAGAAAACAATCATTAAAAAAGTTTAAAATAAAATAGTTTTTTCACTTAATCATACATTGTGTTACATCATTGTATTTACAATAATATTGATAATCTTCATCAACTTATTTTCTCTGTACTTTCTCTTTTTAATTAAACATCAATATAACATAAAATTGACTACATAATGAAATAAAGTGAAGCTGTGTTTTTTTTCGGAGTACTCTAATACTGTTGACCGTAGCTGGGCTTTACAGCTTTCCCGAATGATAGGGGGCGAGTGGAGATGGCACTCCAAACCAAAGGAAGGACTTATGGAGTGGCTGATACTGTCCAGTGTAGTACTGCGACCTATACAGATCTATTGTGCTCGCCCTTTTTCAAAGTTTGCTACCTACCTTGATATAATTGATTAATTAGCCAATCACCAGCAGTTTATCTAATATCGAGCTACCTACTGTAACACAACACAGGTAAGCAGTTAACCATAAGCCCATACAAAAGTTAATTAAATTGCGAAACTTCGATTCAGTCATGGATCTGACTTCAAACGTAACCTGGAAGTACCACCCCTATATAGCTTTCTAATAGGGTCAAACTTGGGACCACACAGTTATATTAATAGAGGTGTTATTTAGATATTAATAATTAAATATATGAGATGTTAAAGGATCAATTTTTTGCTGATAAAATTTAAAAACTATACATTCTTATATTCTTTCGGACGCTGATGCATCTCATAATCTTTATCACTATCCTTACCACCCAGTTCGGATAGCTACTTGAGTTTAGAACTGCCAAGAAACTCAACTGGTACATTTTTTATTATATTATTATACTGGCTAGTTTTATACTTTCATAATTATAGATTTCGTAAAGAATTTCGATATTTGTATGTATTACTATAATAATAATAAAACTCTTTATTGTTTACACGGATGAAATAATAAGAAAATACAGTAAATAGTAAAATAATTACAAAAGGCGGTCTAGAATAAAGGACTTATGTACATAGAATAGGTAGGTGGCACACATAAGACACTATTTACTATACTACTAAATATACATACTTACATTAGGGATAAATATATAAACCTACATGTATATAGGCCATTCTATATTGAAGAAATATTTTGACAAAAACACTAGTTATAAGACGAATTGACATTTGACCAAAATAGACGTTATATTTTCCTTCATCAGTTATAGAATATTATACTATCTGTGGTTATAGGTAAATATGTCACATGAATTTAATGAATTTTAAACCATTACTAAATCTATATTTAATGTCTGCTCCATTTATATATGTCCGTGGTAACCACATCAAAGTCGTTTCGACAACTTGCAGCTCTTCATCGCAATTTTTGTTGTAGTTGGAGTTTGATGTTCGGGCTGTTATATTTCTCGTTAAGTCGTGTTAAAGTT